AGGTTAGTGCAACCCAAGCTTGGGAAGCCTGTCCGGAAGAAATAAATTTCGCCTTAACCTAACCTAACCTAACCCAACCTAACACGACCCAACCTAAGCAAAATTTTTTCCGTCCGATGGGGCCAGAATGGCCTTAGCAGGGCTAGGTTAGGCTAGGTTAGTGCAACCCAGGCTTGGGAAGCCTGTCCGGAAGAAATAAATTTCGCCTTAACCTAACCTAACCTAACCCAACCTAACACGACCCAACCTAGGCAAAATTTTTTCCGTCCGATGGGGCCAGAATGGCCTTAGCAGGGCTAGGTTAGGCTAGGTTAGTGCAACCCAGGCTTGGGAAGCCTGTCCGGAAGAAATAAATTTCGCCTTAACCTAACCTAACCTAACCTAACCCAACCTAACACGACCCAACCTAGGCAAAATTTTTTCCGTCCGATAGGGCCAGAATGGCCTTAGCAGGGCTAGGTTAGGCTAGGTTAGTGCAACCCAGACTTGGGAAGCCTGTCCGGAAGAAATAAATTTCGCCTTAACCTAACCTAACCTAACCCAACCTAACACGACCCAACCTAAGCAAAATTTTTTCCGTCCGATGGGGCCAGAATGGCCTTAGCAGGGCTAGGTTAGGCTAGGTTAGTGCAACCCAGGCTTGGGAAGCCTGTCCGGAAGAAATATATTTCGCCTTAACCTAACCTAACCTAACCCAACCTAACACGACCCAATCTAAGCAAAATTTTTTCCGTCCGATGGGGCCAGAATGGCCTTAGCAGGGCTAGGTTAGGCTAGGTTAGTGCAACCCAAGCTTGGGAAGTCTGTCCGGGCGAAATGAATTTCGCCTTAACCCAACCTAACCTAACCTACCCCAACGTAACCTAACCTAACCTAACCTAACCTAGCCTTACCTTACCTAACCTAACCTAACCTAACCTAACCTTACCTAACCCAACCTAACCTAACATAAATTAAGCCAACCTAACATAATCTAACCTAACCTAATTCATCCCAACCTAACCTTACCTAACCCAACTTAACCTAACCCAACCTAACCTAACCTTACAGCCCTTATCTCATGGGTCACACGTTCGGTTCGAATCCCATTGGACTGGGCACATTGAGAACGTAGTCATGCATGCGAACTTTCTCGTAACACAAAAATCCCACAAAAACCTAACCTAACCTAACCCAACCTAACACGACCCAACCTAGGCAAAATTTTTTCCGTCCGATAGGGCCAGAATGGCCTTAGCAGGGCTAGGTTAGGCTAGGTTAGTGCAACCCAGACTTGGGAAGCCTGTCCGGAAGAAATAAATTTCGCCTTAACCTAACCTAACCTAACCCAACCTAACACGACCCAACCTAAGCAAAATTTTTTCCGTCCGATGGGGCCAGAATGGCCTTAGCAGGGCTAGGTTAGGCTAGGTTAGTGCAACCCAGGCTTGGGAAGCCTGTCCGGAAGAAATAAATTTCGCCTTAACCTAACCTAACCTAACCCAACCTAACACGACCCAACCTAGGCAAAATTTTCTCCGTCCGATGGGGCCAGAATGGCCTTAGCAGGGCTAGGTTAGGCTAGGTTAGTGCAACCCAGGCTTGGGAAGCCTGTCCGGAAGAAATAAATTTCGCCTTAACCTAACCTAACCTAACCTAACCCAACCTAACACGACCCAACCTAAGCAAATTTTTTTCCGTCCGATGGGGCCAGAATGGCCTTAGCAGGGCTAGGTTAGGCTAGGTTAGTGCAACCCAGGCTTGGGAAGCCTGTCCGGAAGAAATAAATTTCGCCTTAACCTAACCTAACCTAACCCAACCTAACACGACCCAACCTAAGCAAAATTTTTTCCGTCCGATGGGGCCAGAATGGCCTTAGCAGGGCTAGGTTAGGCTAGGTTAGTGCAACCCAGGCTTGGGAAGCCTGTCCGGAAGAAATAAATTCCGCCTTAACCTAACCTAACCTAACCTAACCCAACCTAACACGACCCAACCTAAGCAAAATTTTTTCCGTCCGATGGGGCCAGAATGGCCTTAGCAGGGCTAGGTTAGGCTAGGTTAGTGCAACCCAAGCTTGGGAAGCCTGTCCGGAAGAAATAAATTTCGCCTTAACCTAACCTAACCTAACCCAACCTAACACGACCCAACCTAAGCAAAATTTTTTCCGTCCGATGGGGCCAGAATGGCCTTAGCAGGGCTAGGTTAGGCTAGGTTAGTGCAACCCAGGCTTGGGAAGCCTGTCCGGAAGAAATAAATTTCGCCTTAACCTAACCTAACCTAACCTAACCCAACCTAACACGACCCAACCTAGGCAAAATTTTTTCCGTCCGATGGGGCCAGAATGGCCTTAGCAGGGCTAGGTTAGGCTAGGTTAGTGCAACCCAGGCTTGGGAAGCCTGTCCGGAAGAAATAAATTTCGCCTTAACCTAACCTAACCTAACCTAACCCAACCTAACACGACCCAACCTAGGCAAAATTTTTTCCGTCCGATAGGGCCAGAATGGCCTTAGCAGGGCTAGGTTAGGCTAGGTTAGTGCAACCCAGACTTGGGAAGCCTGTCCGGAAGAAATAAATTTCGCCTTAACCTAACCTAACCTAACCCAACCTAACACGACCCAACCTAAGCAAAATTTTTTCCGTCCGATGGGGCCAGAATGGCCTTAGCAGGGCTAGGTTAGGCTAGGTTAGTGCAACCCAGGCTTGGGAAGCCTGTCCGGAAGAAATATATTTCGCCTTAACCTAACCTAACCTAACCCAACCTAACACGACCCAATCTAAGCAAAATTTTTTCCGTCCGATGGGGCCAGAATGGCCTTAGCAGGGCTAGGTTAGGCTAGGTTAGTGCAACCCAAGCTTGGGAAGTCTGTCCGGGCGAAATGAATTTCGCCTTAACCCAACCTAACCTAACCTACCCCAACGTAACCTAACCTAACCTAACCTAACCTAGCCTTACCTTACCTAACCTAACCTAACCTAACCTTACCTAACCCAACCTAACCTAACATAAATTAAGCCAACCTAACATAATCTAACCTAACCTAATTCATCCCAACCTAACCTTACCTAACCCAACTTAACCTAACCCAACCTAACCTAACCTTACAGCCCTTATCTCATGGGTCACACGTTCGGTTCGAATCCCATTGGACTGGGCACATTGAGAACGTAGTCATGCATGCGAACTTTCTCGTAACACAAAAATCCCTCGGTTTGTTTTTGACGCGATGGGAAATAAAAGCGACAGAAATGCGATCGGCAGGCGGTGATGACGGATTTGTGGGGCGTTGCCGGGCAGGGCGGCAGGGCGGCAGGGCGGGGGGGAAGGCCATATAAGCGGCCATGGGCTGCTGCGCCGCTGTCGCCGCTGTCGCTGTCACCGCGACCGTGCCGCGACGCAGGGCGGTGGGGCCGGACAGCAGACTGTCGTCGCTCTGTCTCTCTCGCACCTGCACGGGGCGCCCCGCGAGTGCGAGAGAGACAGAGGACAGGGCGACACGCGGCAGCGGCGTCGTAAAGGGGCCGTCATCGCTTTACGGCGACGCTCTTCTTGTCGGACGTCCACACCGCGATTCCTTGCCTCACGTTGCACAGTGGGCGAGAGGACCGGTGGAGGCTGCCGATGCCGAAACCCCGGACGCGTTTTGAGCTCCAGAGTCGCTAAATGGGACTCGAATCGAGCGTGTGACCCCACCAATGGATTGCCCTCCGCACGAGGAATCCATTGCGATACCCCCCTGCAACAAGCAACTATCTACGCCCACTGTCTCGATAACCGACTATCTACGCGCGCTCTCCCGACAACCGGCTATCTACACGAACTGTCTGGATAACCGTCTATCTGCTTTCTCCACCTCGCGAGATTGAATGCTTTTATTTATCCAACCAATTAAGTTGCCCTCGCAAAACCTTTATCAAAACTTGTCAAAAGTTTGTCAAAGCAAGATTAAGTATGGTTTAAACGGGTCGCTTTAAGTGTCATGGAGAAAAATACTTCGTTGTACGACAACCCTAACCTCGCTACGATGTTGGATAGTCGGTTATCCAGACAGCCCATGTAGATAGCCGGTTGTCGGGAGAGCGCCCGTAGATAGTCGGTTATCGAGACAGTGAGCGTAGATAGCTGCTTGTTGCAGGGGAGTATCGATTGGTGGGGTCACTCGTTCGGTTCGAGATCCTTTTAGCGACTCTGGAGCTCAAAACGCGTCCAGCGTTTGTAGCCGCCTCCACCGGTCTTCTGGCCCACTGTGCCCTGCAGGCTGCGTTCGTCGAGGGGGTGCGAGGGAGACAGCACGCATGTTTGCGTTTCATAAATTGTGAGTGCTTTGGGAAAGGACACGACTTCACATATGCAGACACTTAGTGATTCGTCTCCCTGACGGACAGGAACGGAAAGGGAGGAAAAAGAGGGGGGGGGGGCAATGAAGAAAAGAAAGGGAAAGGGAGAGAAGGACAGAAGGCAAAAGGCAGCAAGAACAGGGAAAGTTGAAAGGGCGGGGTTGGTAAGTGCAGTGAAGTCCGAGAGAGCCAGCCGAGCTTTTCCGAAGACTCGTTTCGTCTCCCTCCGTCTCTCTCTCTCTCTCTCTCTGGCCCCAACTGCAGGACGCCAGATGAGTGCGAGAGAGACAGAGCAGCGGAGAGACTCTCCGGCATCAGTCCGTAGAGCTGGTGGAGCCACGTGGCGAGGAACGGTGGCCATCAGGTGTCACAACTTGAGTGCGGGCAAGGGAAGGGGTTGGGCGAGGAGGGGGTGGGGGCGGGGGCCGAGGGCTGGCGGCAGAGTCCGCTGGAAATGTCCTTCGCGACCGAAAGGAAGTGCAAAAAAGTGCTGATGGCCTCCCGAAAAGAAAAAGAAGGAATAAAAGGATGAAGGGCGCAGAATTATATCGCCCCAGAGTGCAGCTTCCCCGAAACGCACTGCAGGGAATTGGCGCCTTGGCCTGTTTAGCAGTGGCGCTCTCTCTCTCTCTCTCTCTCTCTCTCTCTCTCTCTCTCTCTCTCTCTCTCTCTCTCTCTCTCCTCACCAGCGGCGTGTCGTTGTACCGCACGAAGACGCCGACCGTGGCCAGCGTGAAGGCGATCCCCGAGGCCGAGATGATGATGGGTCCGTAGGCCACGGGCGAGAAGAAGGGGATGTACTGGACCTGCAACGGGAGCGGCGGTGTCAACCAGTGCCCCACCAACAGAAGAACGGTGGAGGCGGCCAAAACTCTGGACGCGTGCAGAGCTCCAGAGTCGCTGAGCAGGACCGGAACCGAACGTGTGACCCCACCAATGGACTCCTCGTTCGGAGAGCAATCCATTGGTGGGGTCACACGTTCGGTTCGAGTCCTGCTTAGCGACTCTGGAGCCATCTTGAATTTTGGCCGCCTCCACCGGTCCTCTGGCAAATGCACTGTGCAGCTTTCAAGGCTGTCTCGGTGTGGTCTGGCCTTTAATGGTAATGGTAATGGCAGGGCCGCCCGGCAGGTAGGCAACTCAGCGCACGGCTGCGCGGCGGGACTGCCTACCCCGCCGACTGCAGGCGCTTCGCACCTCTCTCTCTCTCTCTCTCTCTCTCTCTCTCTCTCTCTCTCTCTCCCGCACTCACGAGGTGGCCCGGCGTCGGTGCGAGAGAGACAGAGCGTTGTACTCACGTCGAGTTCGTAGCAGGACCGCTTGTCCGGGTAGGGCCAGAAGCCCTTGCCGCAGTCGGCGCACGTGGACTCGTTGTAGACGAACTCGTACTCCTCACACGTGTCGCAGATCCAGCAGCAGACGTCGCCCTGCAACACAAAAGTGACGTCACATTTTCAAGTGTTTTTATTTTCCGGTCTTATTGTTTACAACTTTTTTTGTTGTTGTAAAAACCGCGGTTTTGCCCACCGCAATCTCTAACACCAAGAGCTCCAACTGCCGTGTGGTTCAGGGGTCTCTCTCTCTCTCTCTCTCTCTCTCTCTCTCTCTCTCTCTCTCTCTCTCTCTCTCTCTCTCTCTCTCTCACCGCGAGTGCGAAGGAGACAGAGCGAGGCCCGCGGCAAACCAATTAAGCGAGTCTTAAATGCAGCCGCGTAACAAAGACAGTGCCAGCGCCTTCCAACAAAGACGGAAAACCAGAAAGGCAAAACAATAAAACCCTCATTATTATCCCAGGTGCACCGCGCCGCCCGGCCCGGCCCGGCCTTCCCTTTGACAATAACAGCCGCCCCGCCCCGCCCCGCCCCGAGTGGGAAATGACTCTTTGCGGTGTGGACAAACATCCGCGGGCAGAGAAATAGTGGAGGACTTAGAGGCGGCTAAGGGCGGCGAGAGAGAACGGGGTGACTACCGCACTGCAAAGAATTTCAAACCGACTTCGGCCGCCCATGGTCCGGTCCGGAAGGGACGCTTCGTCGGAGGCAAGTAGTGGCCGAAGAACTTTAAACTAGTTGCAAAGAAACATTCTTAAATTTAAAGGAAGAATTTGTGATGCCCATTTTAATTCAAAGATGTGTACTCGCTGCGGATAAAAAGTTTAAAAATGTTTGTACCTGAAATTTACTGATTTAATGGAGGTCGCTCTCTTGCACTCTGCAGGAGCGTTCGGTCCATTCGGTAGGGGTGCGATAAAGGTAAATTAGGGCGACGAAAATGACTCCTAGGAATCAGTCCGCCGGGGCGTCCGGCTGGCGGTTCTTTCAATCCACCCCCACGACACTGCTAAACCCGAAACCTGAAACCCACACGGTCAGACTTGGTCCTGAAAGATTCAGGACCGTAACGCGTCCCTGAGGTAGCCGGACACCCGTTTCCAGGACGGGAGTGGCGAAATTCAACCAGTTTGCCGTTTGGTCCTGGAAACGGGTGTCATTGGCGACGTTTGTCACCCGTTTCCAGGACGGTTCGGAATGTTTGGGGCTCTCGGTCCTGGAAACGAGTCTCGGCGGGCCCAAGACGCCGAAGTAAGACCAGTTGGCACCTGGTAGCTTGCACACTGAACTACATTGTACCGCTGGGCAATGATGCGCCATTCCCGCAGTGCGTTTCATGGAAAAAATCGGCAGCAAAAAGTGGCAATACGAAAGTCTCAAGGAGACCCGCCGATCAGCTTCGGTGTTCTTATGGGAACCGGGCCTTCATCCGACGCATCCCTGCCGCGCAATTCGACAGATTAGTGGAGTTCGTTTTGGGGCGGGCCCCACCCGAAGTGCGCGCGGTTTCTGTGGTACAGTGAGAGTCCAGATTCAGAGGCCTTACCTCAGAGGGGTCACATTGGGTATTTGAACCCGCGACCCCGAGTGCCGAGTCTAGTCAACTCCTCTACCCTGACCGCTCAGCCACCGAACCAGCTTGTCGGCGGCGATGTCGCAACTCCTCTTGAGCTGCCGTTCGAGAAATCTGGTCCCGAAAAAAGGGTACCTGGAGCGGTCTCGAACCCGGGACCTGCCGTTTCCCCACATCATGCTCTTAACCACTGAGCCACCGGGACGCCATGGCACCCGCCCTGCCTGCGCAGGTACCCAATCTTCTGTGGATATACCTCCCCAAGCAATTGGTCGCCAAAAAAATTGTGTATACTACCGGTCCCAAACCCCGGGGACCTCCCGCTTCCCGCGACATGCTCTTAACCACTGAGCCACCGGGACGCCATGGCACCCGCCCTGCCTGCGCAGGTACCCAATCTTCTCTGGATATACCCCCCCAAGCAATTGGTCGCCGAAAAAATTGTGTATTTTACCGGTCCCGAACCGGGACCTGCCGCTTCCCCATCATGCTCTTTACCACTGAGCTACCGGGGACCATGGTGCTCGCTCTGCCAGCGCTGGTTCTCAATCCTCTCCGGATAGACCTCCTCAAGAAGTTTGTTGCCGTTGCCAAAAAATTTTGCTCATGGCACTAGTCTCGAACCCGAGACCTGCCAGTCAGGAACGCAGCTTCAAACCACTGCGCCACCAGTTTGCTATGACGCCGCACTCCTAGCGCCGAACTTATAATTTGTCCAGCATCAAGCGAGGGGTGGCTATTCAAGTTTGGCGCTAGGTGGATTGCGTGCGTAGCAACCTGATGGCGCAGTGGTTAGAGTGCTCCGTTCCTGACTGGCAGGTCTCGGGTTCGAGACTAGTGCCATGAGCAAATTTTTCAGCAACGGCAACAAACTTCTTAAGGAGGTCTATCCGGAGGGGGTTGAGTACCAGCGCTGGCAGAGCGAGCACCATGGTCCTCCGGTAGCTCAGTGGTAAAGAGCATGATGTGGGAAGCGGCAGGTCCCGGGTTCGGGACCGGTAGTGTACACAATTTTTTCGGCGACCAATTGCTTGGGGAGGTATATCCAGAGAAGATTGGGTACCTGCGCAGGCAGGGCGGGTGCCATGGCGTCCCGGTGGCTCAGTGGTTAAGAGCATGTCGCGGGAAGCGGGAGGTCCCGGGTTCGGGACCGGTAGTATACACAATTTTTTCGGCGACCAATTGCTTGGGGAGGTATATCCACAGAAGATTGGGTACCTGCGCAGGCAGGGGGGGTGCCATGGCGTCCCGGTGGCTCAGTGGTTAAAAGCATGATGTGGGAAGCGGCAGGTCCCGGGTTCGAGACCGCTCCAGGTACCCTTTTTTCGGGACCAGATTTCTCGAACGGCAGCTCAAGAGGGGTTGCGACATCGCCGCTGACAAGCTGGTTCGGTGGCTGAGCGGTCAGGGTAGAGGATTGACTAGACTCGGCACTCGGGGTCGCGGGTTCAAATACCCAATGTGACCCCTCTGAGGTAAGGCCTCTGAATCTGGACTCTCACTGTACCACAGAAACCGCGCGCACTTCGGGTGGGCCAGCCCAATACGAACTCCACTAATCTGTCGAATTGCGCGGCAGGGATGCGTCGGATGAAGGCCCGGTTCCCATAAGAACACCGAAGCTGATCGGCGGGTCTCCTTGAGACTTTCGTATTGCCACTTTTTGCTGCCGATTTTTTCCATGAAACGCACTGCGGGAATGGCGCATCATTGCCCAGCGGTACAATGTAGTTCAGTGTGCAAGCTACCAGGTGCCAACTGGTCTTACTTCGGCGTCTTGGGCCCGCCGAGACTCGTTTCCAGGACCGAGAGCCCCAAACATTCCGAACCGTCCTGGAAACGGGTGACAAACGTCGCCAATGACACCCGTTTCCAGGACCAAACGGCAAACTGGTTGAATTTCGCCACTCCCGTCCTGGAAACGGGTGTCCGGCTACCTCAGGGACGCGTTACGGCCCTGAATCTTTCAGGACAAAGTCTAACCGTGCAGCCAGCCGTCGACCGACGGGCCGCCGAACCCCGCAAGTTCGTTAGGGTTGGTTAAGGTCCGTGCGGCAGGTTTCCGACGGAGTTAGTGAGATGAGAGCTTGCGGTGCTCCTGCGGCTGTGGAACACATTAGAGTTTGCAGGGGGGCCCGACGGGCTGGCCCCCCCCGCCCCCCCCCACCCCACCCCGCCCCCCCCCACCCCGCCCCGCCCCGCCCCCCCCCCCCGCCCCCCCGCCCCGCCGCCCCGCCCCGCCGCCCCGCCGAGCAATCCGAGGCGTTGACCGCGCTCTGATTGAGGATGTGGCCGTCTCTGTGCGGTGGGGTTGGTACCGTCTGGCGGCTGCGCCTGGCGGGCCTGGCGGCACGCACCACACACTGGCAAAAAAAATAAATTAGAAATCTGAGGTCCGTCTGCGTGGATTCCAGCGATTTTGCCAGGAGCAAAGTGACCGCTGCTTCGACCGAGAGCGTTTCGCGTCATCCTCACGACTGGGGGGGGGGGAGGGGAGAGGAGAGAGAGATAAAAAAGAGAGAAGAGAGAGAGAAGAGAGAGAGAGAGAGAGAGAGAGAGAGAGAGGAGAGAGAGAGAGAGAGAGAGAGAGCGCATGGCCCTTACGAGCACTGAGAATGAAAAAGTCATGATCAATACCCAATTTTGGGCGAGGTTTACTTTCTCACCCAAATTTGGGCGAGGAATGTTTCCTCGCCCAATTTGGGCGAGGAAAGCTTCCTCGCCCAATTTTGAGTGAGGAAGGGGGTATCAGCTCCCTATATAGCACCATAGTATTATGAAACCCCAAAATTTGGGGGAGGAAACTTTCCTCACCCAAATTTGGGCGAGGAAAATTTCCTCACCCAAATTTGGGGAATAAAGAATTCCTCGCCCAAAATTTTAGTCATGATCATGACTCTTTCATTCTCAGTGAGTCCCCTCGGCAAAACTCTGCTGAATATCAATCCATCGTCTGCAAGGGGCATCAGCTGGAGCGGCACGGCAATTTCGCGCAGCGGTGTCTGTCGCTCCGTCTCTCTCGCACTCGCGGGGCGCGCCGCCACGGGAGCGAGAGAGACGGAGCGACGGATCGGCGCGCGGCACGGAATCAGTCTACACGAGAAGAGGACGCCACCGGAGAGGAGTCTCACAGTGTGGGGCCGCTCCGTCACCGTCAGCCCCCGCCCCCCCTCCGCGTTGCTTCGTGTTGGACCATGTTCACGGCATGTGCTCCCGATGGTGCCCGATCGTTCATGGCTGCCTTCATGGCTGCCTTCATGGCTGCCGGCGCGACGCCGTCTGCAGAAACTGCCGCATAATTTCCGGCGGGCTCTCAAATATCCCTGGCGGTGGCCGAACCTGCCGGCGGGAGTCTGCCAGTGTTGCCACATTAGCGCGGGAAACTTGAAAACTCCCGGCGGGTGTCGAATAAGGGGCGGCCAACCTCAGCAGAGCTCCGATACCATTGTCACTGAGGTCTGGAGACAAGGGATGTGTCAGGAGACTTTTTGGGCAAAAACGTGTTTTTGAGCGTTTTTTTTTAGAAAATTCAACCAAATTTCTGAAATTGTTCTAATGCATCTCAGCAGCAACTTTTATGCGGAAAATTAATCATTTTTTTTTCAACGAGAGTCCCCAAAATATGGTCGACATCTGGATGCAACACTTGAAAAACTTCCCTTGTGAGGTTGGCCACCCTTTTTGACACCAGTGCATCGCGGAAAGGTTTGCGTTCGGCAAGGTTGGTGGCCCTGAGTGGTAGCACTCCCCCCACTTTCCGAATCTCCTCCTCCGCCGGCCGCGCCGTCCAGGCCGTCACCGCGTCCCACAGTGGGCCAGAAGACTGGTGGAGGCGGCTAAAACTCTAGAAGCGTTTTGAGCTCCAGAGTCGCCAAATGGGACTCGATCCGAACGTATGACCCCACCGATGGATTCCTCGTTCGGAGAGCAATCCATTGGTGGGGTCACACGTTCGGTTCGAGTCCTGTTCAGCGACTCTGGAGCTCAAAACGCGTCTGGACTTTTGGCCACCTCCACCGGTCTTCTGGCCCACTGTGCGTCCTCCGCCAGCACGGCACCCCTCCACCAAATTTCCCGCCAGGAATAGCCACAATTTCCCCGCGAGGGACAACACCAGAGAGTCCGTCCCGGCTTCGAAGGAGAGACGAAAAAGGTGAGGAGAGACACACTGCAAGCGACACGACACGACGCGGTGCGCCGCCACGTCGCCTCGCGATGACCGCAAAAGCAGCACCAAGTGGAAAGGAGGAGGGGGGGGGGGGGTTGGAAATGACGGTAAAGGGGGTCACTCGGAGACGTCCCCGAGGGCTCGGCTTGCCTTATCTCCACCGAACTCAACTGCCTAGTTCCCGCGGGAGCACGGCGCGCCCTCCCGCAGCGTCTCAGAGAGTCTCCAAGGGCGTCTCCGAGAATCTCTCCTGGCGGGGCTCAAAAGAGAAGAAACCTCCTCAAAATGTCTGCCGAAATCTTCCTAACAGTAACCCCAACTACCGAAGTCACCCCAAGTCTGCACAGTGGGCCAGAGGACCAGTGACGGCGGTCAAAATCCCGGACGCGTTTTGAGCTCCAGAGTCGCTGAATGGGACTCGAACCGAACGTGTGACCCCACCAATGGATTGCTCTCCGAACGAGGAGTCCATTGGTGGGGTCACACGGTCGGTTCGACTCCCATTGAGCGACTCTGGAGCTAAAAACGCGTCTTGGCCGCCTCCACCGGTCTTCCGGACCACTGTGGTCCTCCGAAGAGTCGCCCGAAGTATCCAAAAGCCTCCCCAAGAGTCACCCCAAGGCCCCCGGAGGGCCTAGCGAACTTGCGCCCCGGAAGGGAACGCATGGATTGAGTCCGGGCATAGATAGGCCGTGCCCAATTAGCACAAACTCGTCATACTAACGCCGCCACACTGGCAGCGCCGCCGGCCGGCCCGACTGAGCAATATTCGAGGACTTGGGGGACTCGCCGCGCTCCGGGGCCTTGGCCGGCGGGACTCCGGGGCCGGACTCCGGGCGGCGACCCACTGCCCAATCAGCTCGCAATTATAGAAGGACAGGAAGCTGGACCGGGAACCCGGCTCCGGGAACCCGGCTCCGGGAACCCGGCTCCGGGAACACGGCTCCGGGAACACGCCCCCGGACACGCTGTTTCCGGTCAGCCCCCGCGGGGTTAGCTGCCGGAAACCGGCCGCGAGGGCCCCGGACGAAAACTCGGTGCTCGGGCCTCGCCGGGACGGCCGGGGCTCGAACCCTTGCCTTTTTGTGATGCCGCTTGATCATGCCCACGCCGCAGGGCTCCGAGCACGTCGACGTGGGCACGCTCCTGGAGCCGTTGGTCCAGGCCAGCGCGTCCACCTCCAGCACCAGCGTCTCCGACCACCAGCCTACGGTCTGCAACAGAGAGGCCAAAACACGCGCTTGTTATACACTGAAAAAAAAATACCACAACAAAAGTACACAAATTGCTGGCAAATTTTTTCAGGAATTTATTGTACTAGTGCAGGGCTCAGGGGTCACCAGCTCGATGTGGGATCATTTGACAAATACTTTTTCGACCAACTTTGTGAGGTTACAGGTCCCAAAATCGTTGAGGTTAAATCCGAGGAATGAAGGAGTAGAGTCTTAAGGACACTAGGGCGCTGAGAGAGGCCTTTCAGGACAACTAGATTGAACGTAGTGGTAGCTCGAAGTCAGCAAAAACCTGTGGCTTCTTTCCATCACTTCCATCACTTTTTGACCATATTTGCGAGGCCGAGCGCTGCGAACTGATTCCGAGAATCGTTCTCGTCGGTCTGTCTCTCTCGCACTGATGGTGCGGTGCCTGTAGGTGCTAGAGAGAGAGACAGAGCGAGGAAAACAATTCTCAGAATGAGTCTGCTGTTGGTGCGCGGATTCGCGAAACACCGCGATCCCTTTTGTGCTCGGTGGAAACTCATCGCCTGGCAGTGACGTCATATGACGTCATGCTCCGCTCCGTTTGGAGCAACCGTATTATTAATCGGACTGCACACAGCGCTACCTGCCAGACAAAGCCCGAGAGCCAGAGGCGGGCTGGGCTGGCGGCCAAAGGAGCAATCGGTCGAATGCACGACGGCACGACGCTCAAAGCGGCCGATGGCTAATAGATGTCGCTGGCACGTCGGCTGTGCTGCAGTGCTGCCATTTTCATGAGGCCCCGCACAGTGGGCTAGAAGACCGGTGGAGGCGGCCAAAATTCCAGACGCGTGTTTTGAGCTCTAGAGTCGCTAAATGGGACTCGAGCCGAACGAGGAATCCATTGATGGGGTCACACGTTCCGTTCGAGTTTCATTTAGCGACTTGGAGTTCAAAATGCGTACCGAGTTTTGGCCGCCGGCGCCGGTCTTCTGGCCCACTGTGCGCCCCTCTCGCCAAACAGTTGGCTGCAGTGCTTTCGGACTGGCCTTTGGGCTCCAACAGTTGGCTCCACTGTGCGCAATATTCTCAATCCCTCCCTGCAAAGTTTGATGGCTTGACAAGTGGGGCAGCGACGGGGCGACGGGGCGACGGGGCGACGGGGCCAAGGCGTCCAAGACGGTCCAGAGTCCGGGACTCGGTCCAGACGCGGCACAGTGGGCCACGGGCCAGACGACCGGTGGAGGCGGCCAAAATTATAGACGCGTTTTGAGCTCCAAAGTCGCTAAGCAGCACTCGAACCAGACGTGCGACCCCACAAATGGATTCCTGGTTCGGAGAGCAAACCAACGATACGCTGCGAAATTCGAAGTTGTAAATACAAAGCCGCGTGTTTTCGCTTTGCAGTTTGTGAACTGCGCTCAGGATCGGCCACCCCGTGGACTCCTCGCAGCGAATGCCCACTGGCCGCCGGGGCCTCGGCGGGCACGGCCACCACACCACAAAAATGCAATGCAATTTCGTTTGGACGCGCCTCGGAGGAAAAGGGCGGCTCCAGAATAGTTGGGGAATCTTGACGATACTTTGAGGCCGGCCGACGCTCCCCTCCGTGGAGCCCCATGCGGGGTGAGGGGCCGCTCCGGCCCTCCACACACAGTGGGCCAGAAGACCGGCGCAGGCGGCCAAAACCCCGGACGCGATTTGAGCTCCAGAGTCGCTAAGCAGGACTCGAACCGAACGTGCGACCCCACCAATGGATTGCTTTCCGAACGAGGAATCCAATGGTGGGGTCACACGTTCAGTTCAAGTCCCGCTTGACCTCTCTTTTTGAGCGGATGGGATTGGGTTGGAGTTGGGGTCAGCCGAAAGTCGCACTCAAAGTCACGCGATTTCTGAAATACAGTGGCGTGCCGGGACCTGCTGGCGGGACTCGTCCACCCAAACTGTACCAAGTTGATTTAATATCTTATCCCGCACTGCTGCGGGTGCCGGCGGGCGCTGCGTCGCCCCGCCGACCTTGGAGGCTCTACGCCACACTGCTTTCCGAACGCGACGCGTCAGTCAGCTTCGCACAGTGGGCCGGAAGACCGGTGGAGGCGGCCAAAACTCCAAACGCGTTTCGAGCTCCAGAGTCGCCAAGCAGGACTAGAATCGAGCATGTGACCCCACGAATGGATTCCTCGTTCGGAGAGCAGTCCATTGATGGGGTCACACGTTCGGTTCGAGTCCCAGTTAGCGTTTCTGGAGCTCAAAACGCGTCCGGGGTTTCGGCCGCCTCCACCGGTCTTCTGGCCCACTGTGGGCCGCATAGAGAGCGGTCAGCGCGGCGAGGGTCGGCGCAAAGTGGCCGCGGTGCGAAAACGACCCCCAGGAGTGCCAGGGGCAGGCCAGGGGCAGGCGCGGCTCGTCGCGCCACGCCCGCCAGGTCTCGCTTCTGAATCGCCAAAAAGAGGGGAAAGATGTTGACTTTCGCCAGGATTCTTTCCGTATGGCCAAGTTTGTGGGAGCATTCCTTTGAGCCCCACCGGCCCCGCCCCGGCCCGCCCTGGCCCGCACAGACTGAATACGAAACCTCACCTTGTACACGTAGCCGGAGGAGTTTTCGGCGCGCTGGTAGTTGCTGATGTCGTAGCGCGCCAGACCGTCGCCCATGCGGTTGAACTTGACTTGGGTGCCGGCCAAATCTGCAACAGAGAGCGCCGCGGAGTTCAAACACCAAGCCGACACAAATTTTAAAAAAATATCACAAAATTCAGAAGTGTTTTTTAAGTTTGCAGTCTGATTCATAACATGTTGCTAGCTTGAACGCTTAAGCTCTGAGGGAAACCACGCCGCAATGAGGTCCCTACGCAGGGCCCACAGTGGGCCAGAAGGCCGGTGCAGGCGGCCAAAACTCCAGACGCGTTTTGAGCTCCAGAGTCGTTAAACAGGCCTAGAACCGAACGTGTGACCCCACCAATGGATTGCTCGTTCAGAGAGCAATCCATTGGTGGGGTCACACGTCCGGTTCGAGTTCCATTAAGCGACGCTGGAGCTCGAAACGCGTCAGGGGTTTTGGCCGCCTCCACCGGTCTTCTGGCCCACTGTGGGGCCCCAGGACGCAGAAGCGACTCAAAAGAAACACGCTCGAGGGATTTAAAACGGGAGAGGAAGACTTCCTTTTGGCGGGCCGGGTAGCCTTGCAGAGTGAACTCAGCTGCAGCAATTATTTTTCGTGGGTAAGTCGCTGCAAGGCAGAGCAAGGCAGGGCGAGGCAGGTAAGCTGGGTGCCGTGATAGCGGCGCGCCGCGAGACACACTGCACCGCAAAACGAGACATGCTAATCCTCCAGAAACGCCCCATTCGTCTCCAGGGGCTCCAGCACAAAAACTGCCAGTGGGGCGGACGCGTTTCGAGCTCCAGAGTCGCTAAATGTGACTCGAACCGAACGTGTGACCCCACCAACGGATTCTTCGTTCGGAGAGCAATCCATTGGTGGGGTCACACGTTCGGTTCGAGGCCTGCTTTGCGACTCTGGGGCTCAAAACGCGTCTCTGGAGTTTCGGCCCGCCCCCACCGTCTTCTGGCCCACTGTGCGACGGCCCCATCCTTTCTCGTTACAGGATGAATCCTGGACGAATCCCGAAGGATCGCTGCCTGTAATCCTGGCAGTGTGTTACAGAGTAGGATCGACGCCAGGCGCGCTGTCGCGCCGACTGCGCCGGTTTGAATGCTGGAGGGGGAGGGTGGGGGTGGGGGTGAGATTCCAGAAATCCAGACTACCACTTCCGCGCGTCGCGCCGGGGGGAACGCCAGCGACGCCAGCTCCACCTGGCTGGCAGGAAGAGCCTCTGCCGGAGCGCCGTCTGTCTCTGTCGCTCTCACAGTGTGCTGGATGTCTCGGAGGCGCTCCCACACGGCAAGAAGTGGTTCGCCTCCAACGGCCCAGTCTAAGTACACGGTCGGCGTGAGGGAAGGTCTTGCGCTCCGCCGCGACGGGGCGGTGTCATGGTGAGTCACCGAACAGGCGGTGTGGCGCGTTTTGAGCTCCAGAGTCGCTTGAATGGGACTCGAACCGAACGTGTGACTCCACCAGTGGATTGCTCTCTGAACGAGGAATCCACTGGTGGGGTCTCACGTTCGGTTCGAGTCCCATTTAGCGACTCTGAGGCTCAAAACGCGTCTAGAGTCCCCGGAGCCCGGCCCGGCCCCTGCGAAGCCTGGGGTACGCCAGCCCGCGACGCACCTGGGTGCTACGGCCTCCGTGCTGCCTACCCTCTCCATCACAGGGGCTCCGTAGGGCCTCGGCCCGGCACGGGTGGAACAGGTACCGAGAAAGGACTCAAAACTGTCTCATCAGAACTATTTAACCAGCTCATGGAAGTTTCGCACAAACTTCCCATGATTACAAGAGATTTTTAAAAAGACTTCGGGAAACCCGGGTGAAAAAGCCGTGCCTTTTCCCTACCCAATTTTCTGTCGTACGGCTTTTCTTTTTTAACAGTGGGGGACGCAGCCGGCCTGCATAGAAATTGGCCCATTGGGCGATCTTTCGACACGGGTGCGGTCCGGCTACGTCCGGTGCGGCCAGGCCGGCTGTTCGGAGAATCCCCTCTCCCCCAGGCTAAGCGCGCTTTTACCTTCTTCGCTGCGTCCGTGCAGGGCCGTCGCCGCCCCGTCCTAACGCTGCCTGTTCTTTTTCATTGCACTGAACACGGCCAAGACAGTGCAGCGGGCCGGAAGACCGGTGGGGGCGGCCAAAACTCTAGACGCGTTGCGCTCCAGAGTCGCTAAGCAGGTCTCGAACCAAACGTGTGGCCCCACCAATGGATTCCTCGTTCGGAGAGCAATCCATTGGTGGGGTCACACGTTCGGTTCGAGTCCCATTTAGCGACTCTGGAGCTCAAAACGCGTCTAGAGTTTCGGCCGCCTCCACCGGTCTTCTGGCCCACTGTGAGGCAGCACGCTGATCCCCGCGGAGGTCCTTGCCCTGCGCCTAATTACTAATTACCTCGCAGCGCGTCCAGCAGTGTCGCGAACCTGATGACTGATTAATAAGGACGGAAGGAAACCCCTCGGCGTCGCGTCCATTCCGCCCCACCTGAAGAAGCAGGCGATTCGATCTCGCCGCTCGGGTCGGCCGCAGCGCGCTGCAGCGCGCCAAAGCGTCGGAGACTGGTCGGAGATCTTTGTCGGCCCGAGGAATAAACTTTTATTGAACAGTGACGCGGTCAGCGCGGCCAGCAACGCTCGAAGAAAGGCGTAAAAGGCACGCCTCAGACGAACCGTTCAAGCCGGAAAGAGAAAAACCCCGAGCAAACCGCACCCCGCCCCGGCCCAAAACCTTTCAACATTTTCTCTGTGAAATTGCCTGTATCCCAGATTGGGCTTGGTCCTGCTGAGCGCACGGCCCGGCACGGCACAGTGGGCCAGAAGACCGGTGAAGGCGGCCAAAACTCTAGACGCGTTTTGAGCTCCAGAGTCGCTCGAACCGAACTAGTGACCCCACCAATGGATTGCTCTCCGAACGAGGAATCGATTGGTGGGGTCACACGTTCGGTTCGAGTCCTGTTTAGCGACTCTGGAGCTCAAAACGCGTCTAGAGTTTTGGCCGCCTCCACCGGTCGTCTGGCCCACTGTGCACGGCCAGGCACGGCCGCACGGTGGGCCGTTTCACGAGGCACTATAGGATGCTTCCCCCCGTCCCCGCCCCTGGGCCCGTTTTCCCGACGGGCTGGGCCCGGCCAGGGGCGGCCAGGAGGGCCAGGCCTAGGTACGCTGAGCCCCCTTGAGCCGGCGTGTCGTTCTCCTGAGTGCGCTTTGCTGTGACATCCCGTAGCCCGGCTACGCTGGGCCCCGCTGGGCCCCGCTGGGCTCGCCGGGCTGTCCAGGCCGCCGTGGCGGGGCCTCCCGCGGCCGGCCCTCGCCTCGCCTTGCCTCGCCGGAACGGGGCTGCTTGATCGAATTGAGCCACCGCGCCCCGCCAGCGCGGCGCGGCCACGCACCGCCCCGCACCGCCCTCCCTGCATGGCCAAGACGGATATACGCCGCCGGCCCGCCGCCCTGCCGGCACAGCGCATGTCGCGGGGAAGCCCCCCGGAGATGCGCTCTGTCCACCGTGTCCACGCTCCGCACAGTGGGCCAGAAGACCGGTGGAGGCGGCCGAAACTCCAGACGCGTTTTGAGCTACGGAGTCGCTAAGGAGGACTCGAACCGCACGTGTGACGCCACCAATGGATTCCTCGTTCGGAGAGCAATCCATTGGTGGGGTCACACGATCGGTTCGAGTCCCATTTAGCGACTCGGCAGCTCAAACCGCGTCCGGGGTTTTGACCGCACCGGTCTTCTGGCCCACTGTGCTGGCCGGAAAGCGCCGCGGGCAGCCTTCCAAAGAAAGCGGCCCCTACCGAGCCAAGCCTGGCCGAGCCCCGCCGAAAGAAACCTGCCGCTCTTTCGGCACTTGAGGTCAACGGGCGCATCCAGAGGGGAACGCCTTCGAGGGCCCACAGAACAACTTTTTGCCTGACGCCACACAGCACACGGTGCCAGAAGGGCAGCCTACACTGTGAATCCAACACGCTTCGGAACGAAGCGGCACAGCGCACAGTGGGCCAGAAGACCGGAGGATGTAGCCGAAACTCTGGACGCATTTTGAGCTCCAGAGTCACTGAACAGGACTCGAACCGATCGTGTGACCCCACCAATGGATTCCTCGTTCGGGGAGCAATCCATTGGTGGGGTCACACGTTCGGTTCGAGTCCCATTTAGTGACTCTGGAGCTCAAAACGCGTCCGGGGTTTCGACCGCCTCCACCGGTCTTCCGGCCCACTGTGCGCCCCACACTGCAGGAAGGGACTGGTCCCGTCAATTTGCGGCGTCGCGTTCACCCTCTCTGCAGTCAACAGGCGCAGGGCTGCTCGGCACGGAGCCGCCCGCACCGCACGCCCGCAACTTAGTCCACAGTGCAGTGCGCAAACAGTCGAGGCACGCATGCGATGCGGCAAGTGCAGGCGCTTGCAGTGCAGTGCTCAGTGAATCCTCGCCGTTCGATGGTGTTCCAGTGGCAGTCCACGTCCACATCTCCCATTTCTCCACTCTCCCACCGCCAGTGACCGGGCCTGAGAGAGAGAGAGAGAGAAAGAGAGAGAGAGAGAGAGAGAGAGAGAGAGAGAGAGAGAGAGAAAGGGGAGGGGAGCGCGTCGGCCTCACCGAAACCAAAACCGATACAAGCCAACCCGAACCGCAGGCCGCCCTCAAAAAGAACCGGCCGTGTGGCCATCGGAGCCACAACACGCCACGCCACGCCACGCCGCCCGCACGGCACCGCACGCATGCAGGAGTGAGTCTATACACTGTTAGTTCACGTGATGCGTCCTTCGCGAGAACGCGTCAAATTTGTCAGCCTTCAGCGCGACTTTACCTCTGCGTGTTATTATTTAAAGTGTGCTGCCCTTTCTTTAAACCCGGCCTAAAAAGGGGATGAAAAGGAAATAAGATACAAGAGTGGGCGAATGAAAGGGAAACGGGACACCCAGGAAGCCGGTCTCGCGTCCCCCTTTTCTTGCCGCGTTTTCCGGACGGCCGGCCTCTATGGCTCCAGAGACCTGGGCCCGTTTCCGGCTCAGCTATGCAAAGGCAGAATGGATGACCTCTAGGGGCAGTCCGGCCCCGTCCGGCCCGGTCCGGCCCAGCGCCCACGCCGCCC